AAAGCTCAAATTCGACAGGAATACAGGGGGCAGCATGGGAACACGTATGACAGGTGGTAGGATCAGACTCCACCCACAGGAGGTAGGTCGTGCGCGATAGAAATTTTAGGTCGCAAATTCATAACTCCTGTTCCCGTGGACCTAGAAAGCTCAAATTTGACAGGAATACAGGGGGCAGCATGGGAACACTTATGGTGGGTGGCAGGACCAGACTCCATGCTTTGAAAAAGGGTATAAAATCCTTCAGTTCAACATTTCTCGGGATAGGGTGTTTGACACAAGAAGGAGGAGAGCCTGGCGTTAGCCGGGCGATCCGACTGGTTAATCATTTATTCAGCAAAATAGATCTTTTCATGATAACCCCTCCAATCCGCTCCTTTCTTGAGCCGTCTTGCTCGAGCATTGCATCGGTTAATCATTTTCACATTTGAACGTAAAGAATAACAAATTCAAGAAGTCTACCCAGTCGAGCCTTTGAACAAAGACGGGAGAAGATACCCAACTTGATGGAGAAGCGTTCGTCAAGGTACTGTAGCTAGCGAAATTCCGAATGAAGCAGCATTCCCAGCTGAGAACATAGGCACACACCCCTAGGCTACTAAAGCAGGCTATTCAGTTATGGTGTTCAGCCCCTCGGCGCCCTTTTTGATCTCCAACGATTATTTCAAAGAATGGGATCCGCTTGTTAGAGTCAGAAAGACGGCCGCGGAGTAGGTCGACACTCCTTTCTTGGATATGAAGATGGCCAGAGGTGGCTTGTGGTCCTGAAAAGTGTCATAATGGAGGAAGGACAAATGTTCACTTAAGAAGGTACAGGGTACGGTGAGAAAGATTCTCTAGGTTTTGCGAAAGGAAGAAGCTATTGCTCTAAGAACTCGCTATATCTATGTATTTGCAAAGATAGTCTTTATAAGGGTGGGAGTGAGAAAATCAAAATTTTGCTCTAACTACGCTGGAATAACATACATACTGTGATGGCTCTATCATAAACGATATCCTTGGTGGCTTTAATATCGACAAGGAGCCAAAACATAATACTCGGACGAGTTTCTCTTATAAGGCGCACAATAAGAGCTCAAAATTCGGTAATTTTGGTAAGAAGTCTTCATAGGGTTCTGGTCAGCAAGGCCGTTTGTAGGTTCACTGCTTGTCATTGTTCTCTGACAGAGATCGAGTTCGGCATTGTTTGATTGAGTTCGATTTGGTATCTTCAGAAATATGTCGTTATTTTGTATTTGGTTACGAGCACAGTTCACGATAAAAATCCCCCAAGGATAAATGTTTGGCCCTCTAGAACATCATATGTATGTATGTGGCGCAGCAGGTCGGAAAACGGCTTAGATAGGGTTCCATGAAGGCCCCAACATTGTCCCGTGTGAAGGCTCGGACGAGTTTTACGGGCATTGTAGAGGCTACATCATTCACAAAGGAGGCCATGGAGGATGTTCAAACAACATGTAATGACCCATAGAGACAGTGAATGACATTCTCGACAGTTTTGGCTTGATCTAGTCAGCTCTCACTAAAAGCAACAGTAGCACTGGTAAGTAAGGAGTAAAGTCAATTCCACACAAGAACAAAATTTTGTTTATTCCTTAGGATTAGGTTGCGATCACCAAGGATTCCTACTTAACAAGAGATAGCGGCCTTTCTTCATTTCGATTTCACATGTGACCACTAATAAACCTGTGACCACTGATAAACCAGTAACCTTTGTCAGTGGTTTATACCAGTGAATGTAAGGAAGGATATCCCTAATTGATTGTGGTAATGCTGTTTCTATCAGCCGGCAACATCAGTGAGCAGCATACATACATACATACATACATACATACATACATACATACATACATACATACATACATACACATATAGGAACGATACTACAGAGGTTCGTAGTTTCTGATGTCATTTTCCATGATTACTGGATGACCTAAGCGTGCGACAACCTAAGGAGTTTTGAATTTTCCGTGTAACGACTATTAGAATCTGAACAAGACACTTACGCCGAAGTTTATGACGCCTATGACCGAAATCACAAAAGAAAAAAGGCATAACAATACTAAAGTGCGCAGCTTGAATCGTTGACATCCTACAATACGAATCCGTATTTCATTTGATATAGCACACATCTGGACGAGTTTATTGCTCTTGATGTAAGTAATACTCATTTCTTTCCAGTTATCTAATCAGGACATCAAGAAAAGAATACTATGTATATTAAAATTCGAATCTTCGGAGATGACAGCAGAAAACCACTTTTTCATGGAAGGCGGAGAAAGCTATACAAATCACGGCATCTGAAACAAATTTATAAAAGCAGGTAGAAATATCCGATAGGAGGGATAATGGCCTTTTTTGGGAGTTTTCTGTTTTCTCGATTCTGATCGAAGTATAGGATCGAAGCAGAAGTATAGCTGCAAACACTGACTTTTCCTACGCTATTCCGCACTTGTATTTTTTTAGACTATTATTTCGTTGAATGATTACACTGTGTTTCACAGTGGCACAACCACTTGAATACTGCTAGAAATTTTTCCCCTAGAAAAAGTCGCATTGTCTATGATCAAAATCAAGAGTGACAGGGCCATCTCGTGTTTTCCCGTCGCGTTGTACTTCTATTTGACCGAATGACTTGAGTGTCGTACTTTTCCTTGTTCCCAGGTAAATTTGAAAAGTAACCAGTACGATTTCAAAAAATGTCAAGTAGTTTAAGAAAGTGGAAGAATAGCTCGTCATGAACTTTCGGCAGCTGTTTCCGGGAACACGGAATATTGGTGCTTTCAGAGGTGCTGTTTCGCGGCAATTCGAATAAGTACCAAAATGATTACCTTATACCGATCAACTCAATGTACTTATGAGCAGCTTCAACTCTTGCCTTCGTCGCAGCTTCATACGCATGCTTTATCCCACCCCCAAATCGCCACGAGTTTGGCGCCTGCATCTTCGAACCACTAATGTGCTCATACCCTTATTTCCCATGATAAGAGACCAGAGAGTTTCCTGTCGTTCGAAATAAGTTAGATAGAACAGGTCGCTACTTTCCAATTGAAACGGATGCCGTATTTTAGAGGGAGCGCGAAAATCTACTGGGTAATCCAACCTGACTGCTGGAGTGTCCTTGATATTCTTAAGTTTGCCCTCCCCTTTGTTTCTGTAATCCTTAAAGGCACAATTTACGATAATTTTGAGGTACCCGTTTTTATTAAAAAGCGGAAGTATAGATTGGGAATAGTTCATCGGTAGCGAAGAAGGCGAGAGAGTTCGCTGATTTCAAGAAAAATATTGCTCCTGAAAAGTAGGGAAACTAGTGGTTTGACGAAATTGCCATGACGGAAATAGCATGGAAGGGGTATTCGGAGGGATATTGTCGTTTCAACAAAAAAAAAAGCTTTGATTGCCATGATACACACAGCACTTTGAATAAGGTGGAACTAATACCTAAGCCTCCAACCTTTCTATTGCTTCAACCTCGGCATAGATGTTTCTGGTTACAATATTCTTGCGCCGTACGAGGTTTTTAGGTGGAACATTTAGTAATCACAACGGCCTAAGATTTCGACGTTCTCGTCTTCTTCAGAGGCGAAGCTTCCACCGCTCGAGTGGATTTTATATCCGCTTGAGCGGTGGAAATTCGCTACTGACAGTCGCTTGTGGCGAGCGCACGACACAAGAATATTGTAACCAGAAATATTCCCTAAGCAATTCAAGTCCCACTGATTTACTCGTCACATTGATGACATCGAATTTGTCGTCAGCTAAGATTTCAGCTGACTCGCTTCCTCCGAGATGTTAAGCAGGAAGCATGTTTTTAGTCTCCTTCTGAACAAAACTACAATTACTGAAAAAAACTCCATAGAGCTAATAATTAATGCTAGGCCTTTAGCTGATTAACATGCTAGTCTAGATTTGTCTGGCCTGAAGATCAGGCAACCAATGTCGCTGCTTCTTTACCGTCTGAAGAATGACTTTAAGTGGTCAAGTGAATGCTCTAATAACCGGGGGCTCTGACCATGGGCACCTCTTGAGATCAGGATCGTCGAAAAAGACAAACCCCCTCGAATCATTGTTTAGGAGAACAGCTTTCCAGCACGCAATGGAGACCATGAATGGAGGTCTTATGAGAAGGAATATTTTAAGATATTAACTTTAGTAAGATAAAAGAACAAATAGGAAAATTCCCATGTTGGAATCTAATCCTCGTTGGATGCTATACAGGTTCGAGAAAGGTTCATCTCTGAAGCAAATTGCGGCAGCCTGAGAAGTAATAAGTTTCCAGTTACTAGGATGTCCAGAAAGCCTTGTGAAATTCAGTTTGTTTCCGCATGCAAAATAACTACAACAATAAATTTACATCAGTAGTCGAGACAGTGGCCTCATCCGCAATATCCTTCCATCAACCGGACAGTCACTGATACTATCTTCGAAAAGGGGAGAGGCGCAACGCAATCCACTCATGGATTACCTAATTGACATCCTAACGCTTATTGAATTTTTCCCTTTAGAGCAAGCCTAGAGGCATCTGGAACTACGAAAGTCATACGGAGTGAGGTCAAGGGAATATGAAGGGAGTCGGATAGTCGGGTTATGTCGAGCTTCTCCACCTCATTCATCGACGTCCTCGAGTAGAATAGTTGAGCATTATGCATCACAATCGAAAATTTCCTTGTAATCAGTGTGAAAATGGGCTTGATGCGTTCACCTTAGTACACTCTGCTAAGATCTCTTGGTAAAAGACCCGGTTGAGCAGAGGAAAAATGACCTCATGTAATTCACGCTTTTTAGCGAGCTGTGGCCTTGCGTCCACTTGGATGCATTGCGATTTCCCATGTGGAATTTCGTCCTGATCAATAGTGAAGTCAATTAGTGTCGACAATCGCTCACGTTCGAGGAGTTTCTGGCCAATGACTCGCACTGGACGCTCCTGCTCGGTCGAGGAGTGTGCTATATTTGCAAAGAGTACTGCTTCGAAAGGGGCTTTTGCGCGGAACGATGACGGATTAGGGAGTAGAGATCGTCTGTTCAAATTTCTCTTACCTTGAAGANGATTGCTCTAACGGAAGGCAAGAATAGCGTCGTTTTTGAGGACAGAGGAGGTTTTCTCGTCACAATTCGTCGTAGCAAATCTCTTTTCAGAGAAAACGGTCGTGCCATTTATGGTAGGTGACAAGGAAGGTCACTGCTTTCCATCAGTCTCACATATCATTTCAAGCCTGAGTGCCGAAGAGAACGTAACGCTGAGCAGAAAGCTCAGATAGTCTCATCAGTGATAACTTGTTCGGTCGACGATTATTTACTTCGAACGACCACGTCAAATACCTCACCACGCCCTGATTCGGATGCGCAAAAAATGTCACTCATCCCTTCACCAAAACCTCATCACTTCAAGGAGAAGTAGCAAAGGGGCTCCGAATACAATAAGAGCAACGCTTTGCAAATCACCGGTAAAAAGACTGACGCACCACATTCATATTGAAATCACTGTTGAATCTGCTTCTTTGAGTTTGTCCAACCGATGCTCCTCCAGAAGGCAGCCTGGTAGGGGCTTCTATTGCCATCAGCACATCATCCTCCTCCTCCATGAGTGGGTCATATCCACTTGTATCTACTGGTTGCTCAGTAAGATCGTTAAAAGACCCTGCTTCTTTCGCCGTCAGCATATCGGACGACTTCTTGCTGCGAGCATTCTGCACGTCCAGATCGACGGGAGTGAAGGTACTGAACGCATGCGCAATAGCCAGGGGTTCGCTGAAACGAGGAAAGTATATTTTCCATTTTCGAAAGAGATGTGCCATATGAGGCAACATCAGTGACCTAAACTTGGTGGGGCTTCTTGCTTCCTTTGGCGATCTGGCTACACGAGCAACCAGTTCATCCATCTCTTCCACACTGAATCCACTGAACGCATTCGCAATAGCCATGGATTGGCTAAAATGAAAAAGGAATTGCATGTAGTTAAAAAAAAGGACTATATGAGACAGAGTCACTACCTAGTGTTGCTGTGAGTCCTTGCGTCCTTTCTCATGCCCATATCATGCGAATTGGGGCTACGAGCAGTCCGGATATCCAGATCAACAACATTGGAGCCACTAAACGCATTCGCAATAGCCACCGATTCGCTGAAACAACAAATTTATTACATATCCTCCATTTCAGCAAGAGATTGACTGTAGTAGACAGTATCAGATACCTAGACTTGCTGCTGGCCTTTGCGTCTTTTGCCGTAGTCACATCAGGCGACTTGCGGCGGCGGGATTTCTGCACAGCCGAAACAACAACACTGGAGCCACTGAACGCATCCGCAATAGCCAATGATTCGCTGGAACAGAGAAAGGATTATGTGTGAATTCTATATTCCAATAGAGCTCACAAACTGGTGTTATATGTCAGCTTATGCGCCCACGTCAATTTTCTTAGCCTTTGCAACGACTACTAGGAGCCCTTTCAGAAGGAGCAACATTTGTCTACCATACGGGCAGTAATGGGATACATGCAGATCAGAAATGGCGGCAAAGGAAGGGGAAAGAAAAGGGTAGAGGAGGATGGGGCCAAACATAGGGATTCACTGCCTTGTTAGCATGGATGGGTGTTGACCCTGGTCCAATTCGTGGACCGCGTAAGTCACTTCCCATTTCGTTGTCTTTCCGATATTGTATAAGAAGCGACTTTTTCCAACTGAATAAACATATCATTTGACATGTTGTACTCCTGCAGCTGCCTAATTGTCGAACTCCTGAACGCTCAAGAGAATAGTAGCTTAAATCGATGCAGTTATCTTATGTTGATTAGCCCCGTTTCGCTATGACACCTTGGATTCGACTTGCAATTAGAAATGTAGTAGCGCTTGAATGCTCATGTTTCTTGTATCTCGCGAAACGTGCTACAAAAACCTTACCTAGTAGTCGCTTCGTGGTGAATCCCTTCTAACGAAACGAGCGCTCCTATGCGAAGAAATCTTTTCACGCGACTTTGTTGTGCCTTGAGAGAAGCCAAGTGACATGATCAGATAGCGATTGCAGAAAGCCTCGGGAATATAAACGGAAAAACATAGGGAGGACTTCGCAACTTTGTAGAAACCTCTTCCAATTGCCTTTTTTTACGCTAAATCTCATTTTTTTACCAGGTCGAGTCAGGTTGTAATCTGTCGCTCAATGGTCGATTGCTATAGTAATAGTTATGACTTGAAGAGGTATCGTCAGAAGGAGCAACAAATTTCTGGGTGACACTCTTGCCTTATATACCGCGTGGCTATTCTATGGTGCATTGGAAGTCGACAAGGACCCCACGACATACAGGCAAGATTTTCTAGCTAATCTGGACGTCCAGTTAGATGTTTCCCACCTTTTTCTGATTGTACTTCCTATCGCAGAAGCGCTTTTGCAAGTAGAAATTGTTATTGCAATTGTTGTAAAAGGCGGAACGTGCGAGATCTAGAAGAATTCGAAACAGCGATGAGAAACAGCGCTCTGCGATCTGATATCACAGCTTAAGCAGCATATGAAAGACCGGCGAATACGAGCATAGCAATTCAGAGTTTTTCTCCTAGTTTTTCTAATTTTTTATAGCTGATGGTTCTACTCACGTGATGATTGTCTCTAGTTTGGTGCTGTCTACTTATGTACTGAAATTCCCATGTCAAGGGTTTAATTACCCAAGTTTCAGGTCTGCGAGCCAATAAATGGTCGATCGTACCTTCCTGTTGTAACAAAAGAATTATCAACCTGCGTGGCAACTATACCCAGAACCACTACTTTACTTCCTTCTACTCTCATTGCGAAGACTTAGGGAACTTTAGTGTTCCGAACTCTTTTTCCTTCTTCTCTCCAGACCCTAAAAACCCTCTATCCCTCAGAACCCATAATGATTGCGACAGTGATGATCTCATCGACAAACTGGGATTCGAAGCGGACTGATCCAAAGGTCTTATGCGCTGAAGGCCGAGACCACAAATTGCCAATCGAGGACAATTGAGGATGCGATGGAGACTGTTGTTGATGATCAACGAAAGACGTCAACAAGCTGTACATGACGATGTGAATCATGGGAGCAAGGAGAAGGAATATGCCGACGAGGTGCAAGAATTTGAAAGAAAGCAGAGGGATCTTGATGAATGGGAGTTGTCTCCTTAAAAAGCCGAATCCTTAAACTATGCCAGATGCCCAAGGTTAATGTCATGTGTTGCGGTCACGTGTCAAAATTTCTGGAAAAGGGGCGCCCATGTCCTACAAGCAGATACATTCACGGCGTACGCAAGAGCGAGGAGTCGAAGATGCGATACTCGTTCTGCGGCGCTTGAGGCAAACACTGTAGCGATTCGTGCCCCCGAAAACGACAAGGGGCAAGAAGGAAGTTTTTTTCTGAAAAGCAGGCCGCTGCAAGATTTGCCTCGAGATTGGATGCGTAGCCAATCTTATGCTACACGCCTGAAATACTGGAATAGATTTTCCACTGCGGTCAAATGGGACACCATCCCGCTGTCTGTGACTGACCGGACAAGGCACAGGATAAAAGATGAAAATGATGAGACCCCACGCGAAATTGCGGCTGCAATGATGAAGGTTTTCACGACCTGTAACGACTAAGAATTAAGCATGACTTCTGAATCCCTACCGTGTCCCAGCTCACTCCATGGAGGGCGAGGTAGGTAGAACGCGATTTCATAAGCTTTTCTAACAGTTTGTGCGTGGTAGATTAATTCTAGCGAATGGAACTCTGCTACGCGAAAAATGTTCCCATGCGACTTGGTTGCTGTGCCTTGTGAAAAGCCTAGCGTCACAAAAAGCAATCAGATAACGATTACAGAAAGTATCGCCCCTATAAAGACCTCCTAGAATACGCATAAGCAGGGCTTCGCAACTTTGCAAGAACCTTTTCTAACTGCTCTTTTTCCGTTCGGTCTCATTTTTTCCTTGAAGGTCGATTCATGTTGCAATCTGTCGCCTAGAAGACAATTGTGAAAGGAACAGATATCGACTTGAAGTTGTATCAGAAAGTTGTAGCAGAAGGAGAAATGAACACATTGAAGGACTGCATTGAATGCACGTAGAATTTTAGTATACATGGATTTCGACGGTTGTCCATGAGCAATTCACTGTTTTATTGCTTCCAGGCGATCATGATATGGTATCGTTTAGTCCACTCCTGAAGGTCGGAGGGCTTCTTGAAAGGTACTGACTTGGACTCAACCTGAGCCGTAGTCGGGTGGTACCTTGTCACTCGACCTTAACGTACATCTAATTATCGCAATCCTGGCCGCACAGACAAAATCGATAGTAAGACCACAATAAGACCACGACTACAGTGGCCCTTCTGCTCAGCTCCATCGCATTTAGTCGTCTTCCTAATAAAAAAGGAGCTCCCAAGACTCTCGTGAGTACCTCTCGTAGCAACGATATCAGGCGTCGGCTTTTCACACCGTGAGGTGGTCTCTATCGTCAAGCCATTAATCTGTTAGTTTTCATGCGTTCCGTGCTGTCAGAGCACTGCTAATCAAGAAAGGATAAGCAACCGTTGGCAGAGAGAGTCACTGCTTCTACGCGCCAACGAGAAGATACGACAAGAGGGATGGAAGTATCTTACAACGTATTGTTATAAATCTATTAGGTTGATGTTATGTTTGTTATAAATCTATTAGGTTAATTATTGCGGATTTTTTCGCGGCTTTTTTACTCCCGATAGAATTTGGATATTGAGTTCGGCTTCTTTCAGAACGATCTACTTGATTTCCTCTACAAAAACATACCTACAAAACCATCCGCATATTCGCGCAATTATGCTTTACTTTTTCAAGAAATGTTGGAAGGTGGCAGAGTCATTCCGCGATCTCAGTAACTTTTCGGCGATATAACAACCAGCCAAAACCAACCAAAAAATGGGATGTCCTGTAAAAAACCTGTCATATTCACCAGCAGAAACTGCTATGGATTACCTCGCTAACCCTTCGCTGAAAAAATGGCTAGGAAATGGAAGTTACGTCGATTTGGATGATTTAATGGCCGATGTCAAGGCATGGATCGCCCCCAAGGATCAAAACTTCCTCTCTTCTGGAATCCGACTAACGAGCCAATGGGAAGCAGCGCTTGACGTAGATGGTGGATAAGTTCCGGAGTAATTATTTGAACATGTTTTTGTTCAGTATTTTTGTCGTTTCATTGAATAATATTTGTTTAAAAAAAGTTACTGAGATCGCGGATTGGCTCTGCCACCTCTCAACCTTTCTCAAGTAGTGGAGCCTAATTCCGCGAATATGCGAATGGTTTTCTAGGTACTCTTTTGTAGAGGAAAACAAGTGGATCATTTCTAGAGAAAACCCGAATTAAATATTCAAATTCTATCGGGAGCAAAAAAGCCGCGAAAAAATTCGCAATAATTATGCATCAACCTAATACTTTAAGAGACAATGCTATAATCGAATCATGATTTGCTCCTCGGAAAATCTATCTATCTATCTATCTATCTATCTATCTATCTATCTATCTATCTATCTAACTCCTCTTCTCAATTTTCTGGAATGACTCTCTTCGATGGCTGTAAGGTCCAAGACCCCAGGGCCAAGGTTGAAGACTGAAGCCTTAAAGCCAACGCCGAAAGGATTCACCTCGCTTTCTTTGAGTGATTGTAAGAAGATTTTGGATGACATCAATGATTAGTGCGTCCAATCCGGCTCCAGACCGAGACTGCAGCATGCTGCACCTAGTATGAATGCGGCCTATTGGTTGATTTCCCTCTCCATAACTGTTTCCTCACCGCGCTCACGTGACATTCACACTCTTCATAGCGTCTAAATGACTTCGGAAGGACGCCCAAACCGACAGACAAACAGATGCACAAAGTTACCGCTTAATATATAGAGACATTCGGAACGCCGCCTAACGCCGGGCTTCCCTCCTTCTTATGATAGAGTCGTGATAAACGGCAAACAACATACTCCTTCTTTGGAACGAATGATACTTTTCGGAACACGCAATTCGATAGAGAAACAATAGTTCATGCAAACGATATTCAAAATGTGCCGATTCCTATGCCTTTGATTAGGATGTTTCTGTTGAGCTGTCGCTGTTGATGTTAAGTATTAGGTTGTCGGAAAAGTATTTGCGCATTTTGGTTTCCATGTTGTGAAATCTTTGGGGATTGCTCTAGAGCCTTCACTGCGGAATATGTGTAAGTGCAGGTCAATGCGCTCTCCACACCATATCTGCCGTCGTATTTCGCAACGGCTATGGCTGCAAGAATCGCTCTCGACTCAAAGCTAGTCAGACTATCTTTTCTTCATAACTTCAGAAAAAAACTCTAATCCAAATTGAGCGACAGGGGGAATATG